GCTCGGCCGAGGGCGGGGAACCGCGGGGCACGTGCGCGGGGGGATATGGAGGGGCTCAGGTGGGCGACAGGGGCTTGTATGGGGATACGGTGGGGCTTGGGGCAGAGATATGGAGAGGGTCATGTGGGGGGCAGGGGCATGGACGGGCTCACATGGGGTAGGGGTACCGAGGGGCGGGCAGAGGGATGGAGTTGCTCAGGTGAAGAGGCAGGGGCACACATGGGGCAGGGGTGTAGAGGGGTTTAAATTGGGCATAGAGGGGCTCATATGGGCAGCCAGCAGGGCTATAGAAGGGCTCATGTGGGGACCAGGGCTCACAGCGCGGTCTGGGGTTTAGAGGCGTTCACGTGGAAGTCCCAGGCAGCGACAGAAGTAGAGGGGCCCATGCAGGCAGGCAGGGACTTGCGTCGCAGTGGGGCCATGGCGGGGGTGAGGCAGAGTCCACGGGGTGCAGGGGTACACGCGACAGAGTGGGACTTTGGCCAAGGGATAGCTTAGGTCACATGCCCAGTGTTCACAAAGGAGGCTGGGCCAGTCTGTATTGCATGGCTCCTGTGTGGTGCCTCACGTGGCAGGGGGAGTGGTTCATATGTGGTGTGTCAGGTGGAGGTGGGGCAAGGGGTGTCACAGGGCACATGTGCAGTGCCTCACATTGAGGGTGCAGATGGGTTGGTTACGCCAGGGGGTATCTGTGACCAAATGCATCCCTGTATTCACACCCTACCTACTAATGTAACAATCTTTGTGCAGACTATGCCGTGTAAAGTATCATTTGAAAACTGGACCATAATATCATGATGAAACATGTGCAGTAACAGTAAAGCTATGAACATTATCTGAAATCAGAGCTAAATTGGGGGCAGGAATAGCTCAGTGGTTTGAGCATTAGCCTGCTAAACTCAACATTGGGCATTCAATTCTTGAGAGGGCCATTGAGGGAGCTGGGGCAAAAATCTGTCTGGGGATTAGTCCTGCTTTGAGCAAGGGGTTGGACTAGATGACCTCCTGAGGTCCCTTCCAACCCTGATATTCTATGATTACCAGACAAGTCTGGGGAGGACATAAACTAGTTTCTCAAAAAGAAGTGAGCTGCAGCCCACAAAAGCTTATGCTGAAATAAATTTGTTAGTCTCTGAGGTGCCACAAGTACTCCTGTTCTTTTTAAAGGCCAATATGACACTGTTAGCCAGGTGTCATTAAAGCTTATGGGCCATCACCTGTCAAGTGGCCATTCTTTGGCTACTATGGCCAATGGGAGCTTCGGGGGAGGTACCTGGAGGCTTGGCAAGGGCAGCGCATGCAGAGCCCTCCACCCCCACCTGCCCCCAGGGGCCACAACGCTTCCTGGAGTGGCGTGGGGCTGGGGACAGGGCAGGCATACAAGCAGCCTGCCCTGGTCCCGGTGTGCGCCGCTGCCACCCCGGAGCTGCTTTAGGTAAGCGGCACTGGGCTGGAGCCTGAACCCCACCTGCACCCTGCCCCCCAACTCCATCCCCTAAGCTCCCTGCCTGCATCTTGCACCCCTCCTGCACCCCAACTCCCTGCCCTGAGCCCCCTTGTGCACCCCTCCTGGACCCCAACTCCCTGCCCAAGCCTCCTTGTACACCCTGCACCCCTGTGCACCCCAACCCCCTGCCCTGAGGCCCCCCCACAGTCTGCACCCCAACACCTTCCCCGAGTCCCCTCCTGCACTCCGCACCCCTCCTGCACCACAACCCCCTTCCCTGAGCCTCCTCATACACCCTGCACCCCTCCTCTGCCCCAATCCCTTGCCCTGAGCCCCTTCCTGCCCACTGCACTTCCTCCCACACTCTGCACTCCCTCCCACACCTGAACCCCCTGCCCCAGCCCTGCATACAATTTCCCCACCCAGATGTGGCCCTCGGCCCAAAAAGTTTGCCCACACCTGATCTAATTGATGGAGTTAAAAGGATCACTGAATGCTGCCTGTAGAGTCCCAGGGGTGGGGGGGGGGGCGCAAACTAGTGGGCGGGTCTTGCTCCCTTCGCTGGCAACTGGGGAAGTGGCCTGAGCCCTGAGAAGGGGATAAGACTGTACTGAAAGTGCAAGAAAGGGGCTGGCATTTAAACAGGCCCAGAGAGGGGTCTGAAGAGCCTGGAGAGGACCAGACGTGTGTTGGACTTTGTTACCCCAGAAGGGGACTGACCTGGGTGGAGAGCTGGGACAGTGAGAACTGGTGAAGACAGGGTCTCCTGCGAGAAAGCCCTGGGTGCAGTGCTCTGTAACAGCGCAGGGATGAACTTGAAGTTAGCCCAAAGGGCTGAGAACTGAGCCCAGAGACAGGGTTAAAGACACTAACAAGGGCGCAGTGATAAGCCTTGGTGGTTCATCCATTGTTGATTGTGTGGCTTGGCCAGAGGGCTGAGCCACTGAGGACTTTGCTGGGTAAGGGCACCAACGTTCGGGGGTCCCAGAACCAAAAAAGCAGTGCAGGATCACACCCAGCCAACAGGTGGTGCTCACAAGAGATGAGTGTCCCCCCCATGTCACTTATTCGTTATCCACACCACTGTTCTTATCCATTGATGTTCTTGTACCATATTCATCATTGTAATGTCTGAGCACCTTCCAGTAATGCATAAAACAGCTTGACAAACGTGTCGCGTATGTTCTCTCAGCCTCTCTCCAAGGAGAAAAGTTTGTGCAGGAGATAGTTCCGTTTTTGAAATTTTTATAATATGTATATACACACAAATGCACACTGCTATATATTCATGTTGGAGATGTCAGGTCAAAGAAACGTGCCTTGCAGAAGGTGGTGAGGTTTGTGATGGTCCTTCATTCTTGGGGGAGTTCATTACACAGACAAGGACCTGCCCCCGAAAAAGCTCTCTCTCCTGCACAGATGAGCTTTCCCCTTACTGTTGAGAAATCCATAGGGGCAGAGGAGTGGAGTTGTTGACCATGGTCTTCATCCCGGAGGTTTAGATCTTTTCAGATCTCTTGCACCTTGAAGATGCAAACCAACCCCTTGAACTTGATTTGATAGTCTATGTGGGAACCAGAGCAGGGAGGGAAGAACGGGCTTTGATGTGCTTGTGATAGGCTGTGTTGCCGAGGAGACGCATGGCAGCATTCTGTACCAGTTGGAGTTTCTTAAGTGCCAAAGGCTTCATGCCCAGGTATGTCGCATTGCTCTAGTCCAGCTGAGAGGCATTGAAGTTGTGAATAATGGAGGCCAGGTCATTGTCCACCAGCATGGGGTGGATGGCCTCTCCCACCAGCACGGATTCACAGTTAGAGGTGGTCCTGGCATCCTGGGGTGACCCCTTAGATTTTTCCAGTGTTTACATTTTTTTTTCATTTAAAATTGAATGGTCTAAGCCTTCTAGCTTCAAAGAAAACTTTCTAAGGCCTTAATGCTCATGAGGAAGGCATCGTGGCCCTGGTAGGGAGAAGGGCATGGAGGAGGGAGAGGAAAATGCCACAAGAGAGCCAGAGCCAGAGCTGCAGCTGGAGTAAACTGGCAATGGGCCAGATCCCCAGCTGAGGTAAATCAGCAGAGCTCCATTGAAGCCAATGGTATTACACATGTGACGTTGCAGTCTATATGATTTTATAAAATTTTGATAGTGAATATAATGTAACTGGAATATGCTTCATGCAAAAGGTCTCTTGTAAGGTATCATTACAAAGCTTATTGTCTACTGAGTGTGGTCATCCTATTTGTATAAAGGTATCACTCTTGTATCTGAAACTAGAAATATGAAATATAACTCTTAAGGCCTATTGTAATTATGCAAAATGTGGGCCATTAATGGTGGTTTGGAATCTTAATGGCTCCCATCAACCAGGGCAATTGACTGGATGGCTCTGTTTGCAGGCAAGCCTTCCTGTGAGTCAGGCTGGGAGGAATGAAGGCTTGGGGGTCTTACAGTGACATGTGATCATGTCACATGAACTGGAATCCATCTTTAACCTGGTGCTTTTCCAGTGGGGGGGTGTGTGGAAACCCAGAGGGACAAAGAATTCCCGCCTTATGCAAAATATATATAAATGGGTGGAACAGAAGAGAGGAGAGGAGCCATCATGAAGAATCCCCTAGCTACCATCTGAGCTGAAACAAGAGCTGTACCAGGGAAAAGAATTGTGCCCAGGCCTGGAAGGTGTCCAGTCTGAGGAAAAAATTTACTAAAGCATCTCTGAGGGTGAGATTATCTGTATTCAGTTTGATTAGACATAGATTTGCGCATTTTATTTTATTTTGCTTGGTGACTTACTTTGTTCTGTCTGTTACTACTTGGAACCACTTAAATCCTACTTTCTGTATTTAATAAAATCACTTTTTACTTAGTAATTAACTCGGAGTATATATTAATACCTGGGGGAGCAAACAACTGTGCATATCTCTCTATCAGTGTTATAGAGGGTGAACAATTTATGAATTTACCCTGCATAAGCTTTATACAGGATAAAACTGATTTATTTGGGTTTAGACCCCATTGGGAGTTGGGCATCTGAGTATTAAAGACAGGAACACTTCTGTTAGCTGCTTTCAGGTAAACCTGCACCTTTGGAGCAAGTAATTCAGACCCTGGGTCTGTGTTGGAGCAGAAAGGAGTGTCTGGCTCAGCAAGAAAGGGTGCTGGAGTCCTGAGCTGGCAGGGAAAGTGGGGTAGAAGTAGTCTTGGCACGTCAGGTGGCAGCTCCCAAGAGGGTTTCTGTGATCCAACCCGTCACAACACAGACTTGCACCATTTGGGAATTTGGCCCACAGGATCTCACCAGTGACTTGCGAAGAGTGCCCTTTATTTATCTTTGGTCTGGGATGCAGAGCAGGTCTGAAAAGGGACTAGTTCCTTTAAAGATTTTTCACAGTAACACAGCAGGGGTTTTCCCAATCG